GTGGGGGGGGGGAAGGTGAAGACGTTTTTGTTTTAGCTCAGTGTTAAAAATTTGTTTCGGAATACATCAATCCATCTCTGATTAAAACTAAAGGGATGCATTGAGTAGTTTAACCTGTTTAATGATTTAGTTTGAATAGCTTTTGATTCACCCTTTGTCTTCTTATCATTATGATTATTTTGTATAATTCTATTTACCTGTGCTGGTATCAGTTATATTTTTAGAAATTAACTTTGTTAATCATGATGGATAAATAAATACTGTACTGTAGTCAATTACTCTCACTCTTGATTTTGTCTGTTCTCAACTCTCCTTTCAGTCTGAAGTGTTTTCTCATCACTGGTGTTTCCTGACAGTATTATCAACATCAGTCACACTTGATTGATTGAGGGCGGCCCGATGATCCAGTGGTTAGCGCATCGACCTCACAGTGCACGGTTCAATTCCAGCTGCGGCCTCCCTGTGTGGAGTTTGCATGTTCTCCCCGGGCCTGCATGGGTTTTCTCCGGGTACTCCGGTTTCCTCCCACATTCCAAAAACATGCATGGCAGGCTGATTGAACACTCCAAATTGTCCCTAGGTGTGAGTGTGAACACGGATGGTTGTTCATCTCTGTGCCCTGCGATTGGCTGGCAACCGGTTCAGGGTGTCCCCGGCCTACTGCCAGAAGAGAGCTGGGATAGGCTCCAGCACCCCCTGCGACCCTTGTGAGGATAAAGCGGTTGAAAAAATGGATGGATGGATGGATGATTGATTGATTCACTTCAAGTCAAACAACTGCTGTGTAACCAAAATTTTATTTTATGTATTTATTGTGCCTTTTTTATTGTGCCACAGCATGAGAGGAGAGAAATTTCCATTTATGAGGGATTAAAGTGCAACCACCACAATTTTAAACAACCTGTCACCTATCGGGCCCGGTGCTATTTAACCATTGTTATTAGCCTTTCTTATCTGATAAAATTGAATATAAAAGGAGGTACTAGTTTAACCAAGCGAGTATGAGACCAGACCGTTGTTCATGCATGTTACCATGAATGCGTCAAGAAGCTTACGAGTGCGTCTGCCAGCATTGGTGTTGGTGTTAGAAGTGGTCATCCTGACTCTTTATGCTGTCTTTGTCACTTATGACGACAATGCCAACGCCAAGCTGCAAAGCAACGAGACCAACCCGATGGACAACAGCGTGTATCGCGACTATCCTTTCTTCGCTGACGTCCAAGTGATGATCTTCGTAGGCTTCGGCTGCCTGTTGGCCTTCTGCCGATTCTACGGTTTCAGCGGAATGGTTTTCAACTTTCTGACGGCCACCTTTGCAATCCAGTGGGCGATCGTCATCCAAGGCTTCTTCCAGTTTTACCACGAAGGGAAAATTCACCTTGGCGTTATCAACCTGCTCTACGCGGAGTTTGCATGCGCTGTGGTGCTTATCTCCTTCGGGGCCGTGCTCGGGAAGACCAGCCCGGTGCAGCTCCTGGTGATGGCTTTGCTGGAGATCCCCGTGTTTGCCGTGACAGAGTGGGCCGTGTTGAAATACATCCGCATAAACGATGCCGGTGGCAGCATTCTTATTCACTTGTTTGCTTGCTACTTTGGTCTCGGCGTGACATTTGTGCTGTATCGGCCAGCCCTCAATAACGGCCACTCCAAAGAAATCACCAGCTACCATTCGGACATCCTCTCTGTCATGGGAACCTTGTTCCTCTGGGTGTTCTGGCCCTCATTCAACTCTGCTCTCACCTTAAAAGGTGACGATCAACACAGAGCAATCCTGCACACTTTTATCGGCCTGAGCTCATCCACTCTCACTGCATTTGCACTTTCTACAGTGTTCAATAAGAGAGGCAAGCTCACAATGGCCGATATCCAGAATGTGACTTTGGCAGGTGGCGTGACAGTTGGAGCGTCAGTGGACATGATGATTTCTCCTTCGGCTGCCTACGCTTTGGGCATCATGGGCTGCACTGCTTGTTTTTTTGGATACAAGTACCTCAGCCCCTTTTTAGCACGACACATGAGGATCCAGGACCAGTGCGGCATTCACAATCTGCACGGCCTCACTGGCCTCATTTCATCCACAGCTGCCATCTGTGCCATCCTGCTAGCCACTGAGGAAACCTACGGACCCAGCATGTACCAGATCTTTTCCCACCGTGCTCCGCCCGAGGGAGACCCAAAGCTGCTGGAGCTTCAGACGCTGATCCCCGGGTTGAAGCCAGGCTTGGGGCGTACGGCGCAAGAGCAGGCTCTGTACCAAGTGGCGGCGATCTTTTCCACCATTGCAGTTTCCACTGTTGGCGGCGTGCTGACCGGTTTGGTCTTGAGGCTGCCATGCATGGCTTCCCCATCTGATGAGGACTGTTTTGATGATGAGGTGTTCTTTGATATGCCATCAGATTTTAATAGAGTGGAAGATATCAAGAACTCTATGATGATGCAATGATGGTGATGTCCATAAAAATAAATTAGCACCATGAAATAAAGGGTCTTTCCAGCCACACTTTCCGACCTTGTGAAATCATTGCTATTGTGAGACTTCAGTAATGTGATCAATGTCATCACATAACTGAATTTCACTAGTTATGAATGATAACAATGATTTCATAATAATTAAGAACAAAGGGAATTTGAGGATATTTGTAATTTCAGAAGTGTGTATCAAACTGGTAGCCCATTCGCAATCATTCATAACCAAGAAACACTTCTTAGTTTTGAAGATGTTGATGACCCCTGATCTAACAGCTAGTTATCTAATCATTTCAGTCAGAGCTGATGATCGAATAGTTTATCTAATCAATAAGGGAACTCTATCCAACCCAGCCCACATTGCAGTCACCCGTCGACGTTAACATGTGCTAAAATAATCCTTACTTTTTTTTGCTCTACGTCGTCTCACTTTTCACCTTTTTTGTATTGTGCTGTGTATCATGTTATTTTGCGCCATGTGATCATATGCAGGTGCGTCTCAATACAGTAATAGGAAAAGTTAACCGGCCAAGACTTGCCACCAGAGTGACGACAGAGGGGGAAGTGGGATGGAGGCATTAGCAGGTGAGCTAGTTAGCCGCTAGCTCGCTGGCAGTGGTTGGTGGTTAGTGGTGGTTAGTAGGCTGTTCATTTTGACCAAGGCTGAAGACAATTCAGTGCAGCGCCAAGATGTTAATATTTGAAATGCCACGGCCTCACTGGCCTCATTTCATCCACAGCTGCCATCTGCGCCATCCTGCTAGCCACTGAGGAAACCTACGGACCCAGCATGTACCAGATCTTTTCCCACCGTGCTCCGCCCGAGGGAGACCCAAAGCTGCTGGAGCTTCAGACGCTGATCCCCGGGTTGAAGCCAGGCTTGGGGCGTACGGCGCAAGAGCAGGCTCTGTACCAAGTGGCGGCGATCTTTTCCACCATTGCAGTTTCCACTGTTGGCGGCGTGCTGACCGGTTTGGTCTTGAGGCTGCCATGCATGGCTTCCCCATCTGATGAGGACTGTTTTGATGATGAGGTGTTCTTTGATATGCCATCAGATTTTAATAGAGTGGAAGATATCAAGAACTCTATGATGATGCAATGATGGTGATGTCCATAAAAATAAATTAGCACCATGAAATAAAGGGTCTTTCCAGCCACACCAATGCTTCACTGCCATTCTGTTGGTAAATATGAGTCATTTATTGTGTGATCTTTTGCGACAGTCGATTTTATGATGTCAATCATTGTGACTGTTATTTCAATTGATTTCATACATTTTTAAAGTAAAGGTGCAGACTTTTTTTTTCCAAACACGTCTACATCAAACAAAATATTTTCGTTGCATCAGTCATCATTTTTATATGTCAACGATGTTGACTAAAACTAGGCAGAGGAGCAGTATAGCACATATGTGCACACCGTTTGAAGATTGCATGACTAATTTTTCACAGTAATGTCACTTTGATCATCAGTAGCCTACTTCTTTTGATGAAAAGTGGCTGCTTTTCATCCGCTTCTGTAAGGTGGTTCCACCGTGTGTGATATTAATGTACTGTATGCTTTGCCACCCGACTTACAAACTAAATTTGAATGTTCAAAAAATGACAACCTGTACTATCACGCAATTTAAGTCGTTGATTGGTTTCATAGTCCAACAATCTGTAAGCTGTAAATAAAAGCCTAAACACTGCTGAGTTTGATTTGTCCAGAGAATGAATATCCAACATATAATATATTAGAGTATTGCACAGTTGCAAGCAAAGCTGTCAGTCTATGTTGTACTTTAAATTACTTCAATATTCACTTAATCTAGATAAGCTTCGAGAGGATTTAAAAATCTAACAAGAAGAAACAACAGCTACCGCGAGTATTATAGCTAAGTGCTGTTGATACAATTTTAAGAGTTTACAATTTTCCCGATCAACGTTTGTTACTGTCTATAATCCAGCACCAGTTCACACTTAAGGCTCACGTGTAGCCTGTTGTAAAAAATACGTCACCAGGGATGGGACATTGTGATTTCCCAGGAATGTTGCCGAATCACTTAAATAATCATTGAAAAACATAAACACTCGCATATATCAATTGAAATAAATTATCTGTTTCCGACCTTGTGAAATCATTGCTATTGTGAGACTTCAGTAATGTGATCAATGTCATCACATAACTGAATTTCACTAGTTATGAATGATAACAATGATTTCATAATAATTAAGAACAAAGGGAATTTGAGGATATTTGTAATTTCAGAAGTGTGTATCAAACTGGTAGGCCATTCGCAATCATTCATAACCAAGAAACGCTTCTTAGTTTAGAAGATGTTGATGACCCCTGATCTAACAGCTAGTTATCTAATCATTTCAGTCAGAGCTGATGATCGAATAGTTTATCTAATCAATAAGGGAACTCTATCCAACCCAGCCCACATTGCAGTCACCCGTCGACGTTAACATGTGCTAAAATAATCCTTACTTTTTTTTGCTCTACGTCGTCTCACTTTTCACCTTTTTTGTATTGTGCTGTGTATCATGTTATTTTGCGCCATGTGATCATATGCAGGTGCGTCTCAATACAGTAATAGGAAAAGTTAACCGGCCAAGACTTGCCACCAGAGTGACGACAGAGGGGGAAGTGGGATGGAGGCATTAGCAGGTGAGCTAGTTAGCCGCTAGCTCGCTGGCAGTGGTTGGTGGTTAGTGGTGGTTAGTAGGCTGTTCATTTTGACCAAGGCTGAAGACAATTCAGTGCAGCGCCAAGATGTTAATATTTGAAATGCATGTAGTTATTCATACAGAAATGATATTTGGTTTTGTGGTTCATCCAATATTTAACCATTTATCACTTGAGAATGTTTACCTTTTGAAAAATGAGAGGCTAGTGTATGAAACGAGTCAACTGTTGTTGGCTTCATGTTTTATGTGGCTTCCCCATCTGATGAGGACTGTTTTGATGATGAGGTGTTCTTTGATATGCCATCAGATTTTAATAGAGTGGAAGATATCAAGAACTCTATGATGATGCAATGATGGTGATGTCCATAAAAATAAATTAGCACCATGAAATCAAAGGTCTTTGCAGCCACACCAATGCTTCACTGCCATTCTGTTGGTAAATATGAGTCATTTATTGTGTGATCTTTTGCGACAGTCGATTTTATGATGTCAATCATTGTGACTGTTATTTCAATTGATTTCATACATTTTTAAAGTAAAGGTGCAGACTTTTTTTTTCCAAACACGTCTACATCAAACAAAATATTTTCGTTGCATCAGTCATCATTTTTATATGTCAACGATGTTGACTAAAACTAGGCAGAGGAGCAGTATAGCACATATGTGCACACCGTTTGAAGATTGCATGACTAATTTTTCACAGTAATGTCACTTTGATCATCAGTAGCCTACTTCTTTTGATGAAAAGTGGCTGCTTTTCATCCGCTTCTGTAAGGTGGTTCCACCGTGTGTGATATTAATGTACTGTATGCTTTGCCACCCGACTTACAAACTAAATTTGAATGTTCAAAAAATGACAACCTGTACTATCACGCAATTTAAGTCGTTGATTGGTTTCATAGTCCAACAATCTGTAAGCTGTAAATAAAAGCCTAAACACTGCTGAGTTTGATTTGTCCAGAGAATGAATATCCAACATATAATATATTAGAGTATTGCACAGTTGCCAGCAAAGCTGTCAGTCTATGTTGTACTTGAAATTACTTCAATATTCACTTAATCTAGATAAGCTTCGAGAGGATTTAAAAATCTAACAAGAAGAAACAACAGCTACCGCGAGTATTATAGCTAAGTGCTGTTGATACAATTTTAAGAGTTTACAATTTTCCCGATCAACGTTTGTTACTGTCTATAATCCAGCACCAGTTCACACTTAAGGCTCACGTGTAGCCTGTTGTAAAAAATACGTCACCAGGGATGGGACATTGTGATTTCCCAGGAATGTTGCCGAATCACTTAAATAATCATTGAAAAACATAAACACTCGCATATATCAATTGAAATAAATTATCTGTTTCCGACCTTGTGAAATCATTGCTATTGTGAGACTTCAGTAATGTGATCAATGTCATCACATAACTGAATTTCACTAGTTATGAATGATAACAATGATTTCATAATAATTAAGAACAAAGGGAATTTGAGGATATTTGTAATTTCAGAAGTGTGTATCAAACTGGTAGGCCATTCGCAATCATTCATAACCAAGAAACGCTTCTTAGTTTAGAAGATGTTGATGACCCCTGATCTAACAGCTAGTTATCTAATCATTTCAGTCAGAGCTGATGATCGAATAGTTTATCTAATCAATAAGGGAACTCTATCCAACCCAGCCCACATTGCAGTCACCCGTCGACGTTAACATGTGCTAAAATAATCCTTACTTTTTTTTGCTCTACGTCGTCTCACTTTTCACCTTTTTTGTATTGTGCTGTGTATCATGTTATTTTGCGCCATGTGATCATATGCAGGTGCGTCTCGATAATCGGAAAAGTTACCCGGCCAAGACTTGGCACCAGTGTGACGACGGAGTGGGAAATGGGATGGAGGTATTAGCAGGTGAGCTAGTTAGCTCGCTGGCGGTGGTTGGTCGTTAGTGGGCTGTTCATTTTAACCAAGGTTGAAGAGAATTTTCAGTGCAGCGCCAAGATGTTAATATTTGAAATGCACGTAGTTATTCACACAGAAATGATATTTGGTTTTGAGGTTCATCCAATATTTAATCATTTATTACTTGAGAATGTTCACCTTTTGAAAAATGAGAGGCTAGTGTATTAAACGAGTCAACTGTTGTTGGCTTCATGTTTTATGTAAATGTTGACTAAGTGGAAAATGAATAATTGAATGATAGTGCTACCAACAAACACAACATAAATTGAGCGACATGCGTAGTTGAAATTGTTGACTGGTTAGCATGACTGCCTTACAGTTTCAAGTTTGTGGGTTTAAAATCATGACTCTGTTCTTCCTGTGGAGAGTTTGCATCTTGAAATTTTGGTTCACCAGTGTCAACTAAATTAGATTCTATTTGACAAACATGAAATGAATGCAAGAAAGCGTAACTGAATGCACGTCTTGCGTCTGCAAAAGCACATTTTCTTTTCAAGTAACAACATGAAAACAAATATAGATGTTTTTTTTTTTTTTAGGTGGACTGTGGACACGTCGAGAAAATCATGCTCATGAAATGAATTGTTTTTTGAGTGAAAATGGCGTAAATGCTTGTTTCTGCTAATAATTGATTTCCTATTGAAGTTAATTGTCATTCAAAATTCTGCAGCGTAATGGGGATCATCAACCTGGTTAAACATTGGCTACACTGCAGGTGATGACAAAATGCGATTGCCAAGATTTCAGTAGCGGGGTTTAGATACAGTACGTGGAGAAATAACGGAATGTACTCAAGGTGGTACACATGAAATACAATGAAAAGCAACACATGTAATAGACTGAAAATCAAACATTGCACAAGAGCAGATTCCAATAAGACAGTCGTTGTAGTAAGATTTTCTACTGATTATTAAGTGTTTTAAAAATGCGTAACTAGTAATAAATGTGTGTTGATTATTTAAAACTATTGTTGGTCCTATAAAAGTGTGTGCGTGCGTCTGTGTGCGCGCGCGCGCGCGCATTGTTATTGCAATCAGCGTCGATCCTGTCGTGGGATCATCAATCTGGTTAAACATTGGCTGCACTGCAGGTGATGGCAACCGCATTTTGCCACAAGATTTCAGTAGCGGGGTTTAGATACAGTACGTGACAACATGAAAACAAATATAGATGTTTTTTTTTTTTTTAGGTGGACTGTGGACACGTCGAGAAAATCATGCTCATGAAATGAATTGTTTTTTGAGTGAAAATGGCGTAAATGCTTGTTTCTGCTAATAATTGATTTCCTATTGAAGTTAATTGTCATTCAAAATTCTGCAGCGTAATGGGGATCATCAACCTGGTTAAACATTGGCTACACTGCAGGTGATGACAAAATGCGATTGCCAAGATTTCAGTAGCGGGGTTTAGATACAGTACGTGGAGAAGTAACGGAATGTACTCAAGGTGGTACACATGAAATACAATGAAAAGCAACACATGTAATAGACTGAAAATCAAACATTGCACAACAACAGATTCCAATAAGACAGTCGTTGTAGTAAGATTTTCTACTGATTATTAAGTGTTTTAAAAATGCGTAACTAGTAATAAATGTGTGTTGATTATTTAAAACTATTGTTGGTCCTATAAAAGTGTGTGCGTGCGTCTGTGTGCGCGCGCGCGCGCGCATTGTTATTGCAATCAGCGTCGATCCTGTCGTCTGTTACATCACATGCAGTACTGACCGTTTATTTAAAAAAAACTACGCCTTCTTCAATGTTTAAAATAAGCGTGCGTTTGTGCGTCTGTGTGCGCGCATAGTTATTGCAATCAGCATCGATCCTGTTGTCTCAGTTACATCACATGCAGTCCTGACCGTTTATTGAAAAAAAAACTACGCCTTCTTCAATGTTTAAAATAACTGCATTTAAAGAATGATCAACGGCGCCATCTAGTGACTGAAGGCTGGGGTTTCAAACCTGTCAGTACTCCTTTAACTAACTGACGTAGTTTTCGCATTGGATTTGGTGTGCTTGGTTGGCACAGAAGCGCATACATCTGCACAATGAGCGATGCTTTTGTCTTCCTCTCTCAACTCATCTAACTGAAGCACAACTGAGTACAGTATTGAATCTGAAGAGAGCTGCAAGCAGGCTGAGTCTTTCGGGGCCTTTAGGCTCGGGTTTGCTCATAGTTTGTAGTTTGTGGCTCGGAGAATGACGGTATTCTTTGAACAATCACTGTGCAAATTCCATATGCTGTATGGTTGTTGTTTCTTCTTTGCCAGAACATTACATAATATTCCAGACTTAATCACAGCCTGAGTAGATTGCCATTACATGTTGGAAATTCATTGGCCAAGTGAAACTCACAGCCAAACTAGATTAGTGTTTGTACTTTTATTAAAAAGCTTGCTGATAGTTCTTGTGATAACGGGCTAACCTAATCAATAACTTAACTTGTGTGGCAGTACAAAACACTTTTTCAACATTCAGTTTTAGTTTCTAGGTCAGGTACCAATGCATACATTATTATCTCACACAGTGATGTTACCTTTCAGAAACAGATGATAAGCAACCGCTTTCATCAAAGGAAATGGGCTACTGTTGAAAACATGGTTAAACGAACAATTTTCACGTTCACTCTCTGTTTTATTGATAATTTGATAAATTCATCAAATTATAATATTTAATGAGAAAAACGACTTACAAATTAAATCAATACATTTGAGTCACCACATTTTGGGGAAAATGTGTGAATGACTGTAATAAGCCTCACTCGATTAATGTATTCATGTTTTTAACAATGTTTGGTCTGAAGGCGGCAAGTGGAGAAATCGTGGCGGAAATAATCCCACAATGCATTGCACTGCCCACGTATGCAAACAGGAACATGGCTGCCGGTGTTTGACTGAGCTGCAGTCCATTTTTATTTATTTCTGTCGGCCTGACAGCCCTCTAAAGTTGCCTCTTCATACTTGATTTACATCTGCGACAGAAGTGGAGCGTTTGTGGTGTATTTTTACCGCATCTTCTGACAACGGTGTTTTTTGTTGCTCGTCAAGCAAACAGGTAAGAGTTAGTTCGCTCGATAGCTCACCGGCTAACTTAGCCCGATCGGTGTTTGTCGTCGAAATCAGAAACAGTATTGACGATTCCATTTTTTGAGAAAAATCTCAAAACAAGTGACATTTCCTTAAACGTTGAGAACAAACACGCTGTACGGTAAGCTTTGATAGAGTCGGTTCAAATCGGACAATCCCATGCTCATTTGTGACGTGAGTTTCTACTTTTTTCTGTTCTGTACTAATAACAATTCTATTAGGTCTGTTTGTGTAAAAATATATTTAAAATCTAAACACTGTTAAATATTAGGAGTCAGTTTATTGCCATAGCACCGTCGTGACAAATAATATCCTTCAGCACACTTGTTTGCAAATTCTTATGGCCTTGAGAAGATGACAATACGAGCAAATTATTAACGTTATTTGTAATTATAGATTTTTTTTTCCCACCACTGGATACAGCATTAACACTTCTGTAAAACCTTTTTCTTGTTCAATTTGTTTTCAGTGAATCATCATGGCCAGTCCAAGAACACGAAGAGTTTTGAAGGAAGTCAGAACTCAAGATGAAAATAATGTAAGTCCACAGAGTAACCTAGTAATGTTTAATATCTACATGGAGCTGAACCTAGCTTTGGTTTCTATATTTGTGTAAAACCAACAAACTGCCAGTAAACATAAATGCATTTCCACTTTTGGAGGTTTTCTGTTTAAAAGTGGACATACAGTGGTTTGTAACAAGTCCACACATCTTTGTTCAAAAGCCATGACAGGTTTTTGTGATTAAATAAGCCGTGAAAGAAAGGGAGTGTGGGTGACAGCAGGAGTGTGACAGAAGGGCAGCATTGACGATCTTGAAATAGCATTGTTTGAGATCACGATTTCGGTCCTAAAATGATAAATCGTTCAACCCTATCCTGATATAATGCATCTTGTTTTATTCCCCACAGCTGTGCTTTGAGTGTGGGGCGTTCAACCCTCAGTGGGTTAGTGTGACCTATGGAATCTGGATATGTTTGGAATGTTCTGGAAAACACAGGGGCTTGGGAGTACATCTCAGGTAGAGAAAAATTATGTCTTGTTTTGAGAGATGAGGGAAACATTTTCCAACTTTGAACTCAATTCATGATTCAGTACCCTTTAATTGACACACTCTTAAACGATCATAATGCATGTGACGTAACAGTTAATAAAATGTAAATGATTAAAACAAAAATCTTGTTCTTATTTTTTTTTACATTTTTATTTCATCTAAAATATTTCTCAAAATTTGTCATAGTCTGTGGGGAAACATCTCTGTTCTGTTTGCAGTTTTGTACGTTCTGTCACTATGGACAAGTGGAAAGATATTGAGCTTGAGAAGATGAAAGCAGGAGGGAATGGCAAATTTCGTTTATTTCTGGAACTCCAAGATGATTACAATCCCAACTGGACCTTACAGGAGAAGTACAACAGCCGAGCTGCTGCGCTCTTTCAGGACAAGGTGAGCTCTGCAGGAAACTACGGCCTGGTGAAGGACCCCACTTCCTATATAGACTGCTTAATCACAGTCCAAAATGATTCACAATCTGGCCAAATTTGGGGTAAATTAGTAATTTAGTTTTGCTTTGTGTAATCAGTGTGTTATTGCTGCAGATGAAACAGGAACGTAGTAAGACATTAACTCTTATTTCCCCATGCCGTATAAATACGTCAAGAAAAGCCACTACGCTCCGAACCATGCCGTATAAATACGTCAAGAAAAGCCACTACGGCCGCCCAAAAAATACAAAATAAATAAAGATAATGGAGATTATTATTTGTAATGCATCTTCAATTTTTTTTTTTCTCTCAATTTTGTGTAACATTTCCAGCCCGAAGACATCCATTCACACACTTGACCTAAAAATGTGTCCATGGTCAAATCATTTTGGTCTTAACTGGAATGAATATTTGATGTCATCCTATTAAAACATAAAAAACCCACATTCTCTTGTTCATGTCTTCATCAGGTTGCCACTGAAGCCGAGGGGAAGGAATGGTCTATTGAAACATCATCTGCTAAAAACTGGGCATCCCCTCAACCTAAAAGCAGCCTTTCATCCTCGCATCGGTAAGACTCAAAGGAAGCTTCGGTATGATCCAGCAAATGACTCGTCATTACCGTTGTGAATGTACGCCACAGTTCCGGGGGATCAGGAGCGAACTCTGCAACATCTGGTGATAAAGCATTTGAAGACTGGTTGAGTGATGACGTCAACTCTTATCAGAGGTAATAACTTGATCGTCCTCTCAATGATTGTTCAATTTTTTTCCTTCTTTTTAATAAATTTAAAAACTCTTGTTCAGTGGAGGTGGCTACAGTGGAAATCAAGAGAATCGCTATGTTGGCTTTGGCAACACAGTGACCCCAGAGAAGAAGGAGGATGACTTCATAAATAATGCTATGTCCTCCATTTATTCAGTAAGACACATAGTCACATTTTCTTTGTCCGTCTGAGATTTTCATTTCTCCTGCTGCCGTTGTGTTTTGCAGGGTTGGAGCAATTTCACTGTTGGGGCCACCAAGTTTGCTTCAATTGCAAAAGATAATGTAAGAACCCAAAATGTTCAAACTGCATTTCCAAAAGCTTCATTTCTTCATTAAGTGGCAACGTTTTGGAGGAAAGTACCTCATACATTTTCATATTTTCCATCCAGACAACCAAACTGGCAAATCAAGCAACTTTGAAGGTAAAACTGACATGGTTACTGGTGTTACCTTGAAGGTACACAACACACACTGATCACATATTGTATTATTGATATTTATTAGTACTCTGTTTTTTCATGGACTATATGCTTTATTTACTGCTTACTATTTGCCTCGTTGCGCACTTAAAATATCAAAGCATGATGCTCTACTCACTGTTAACTTTAATATCTCTTTGCCTTCTCTGGACGTAGTTAAGGGGCTATAAGGCGCCCCCAGAACCGGTAAAGCAAGAAATGAGCGCATGACACTTTTTCCTGCATCATGTTTGTAAAAATGTGGTGTGATTTTAATTTTCTTGAGGAAAAAAAAATGGCCGCATGAGAAGTTGTCCTGCCTTGTGTGTGTATTTGTTAAGTGTCGTTTTATTTTGGGATTCTTCTGCTTGCAAGATTCACATTTTGTGCTCGAGACGTTTCACAAACGGTGGCTGTCACATGTGGGTTGTTTGTTGGCTTTTGCGTCATAAAGTATGCGCTATGAGTATATGGATAACTTACGGTAAATAATACATTTTTAGTCTTCTCATCAGTCACTGTATTAACAGATGGGAAAAAGGAAAAACGACAGTGTATAATAGACTTCTACCGCAATGTGTTATCCATTGATGCATGACAGTTCAGTTTTTTTTTTTTTTGTGCTGTCAAAGAGTAATGGTACACACACAAGAATATCATTTTAACCCACCGTTAACTATATTTTCAAAATGGTTAAGTCAAAGGGAATCCTAAATCTATGTTCACTCGAGCCGTCTTTGAGCCATTACACCGACTTGTTTCCTGTTCAGTGTCACCAGTCACTTCATTGCCAAGCCGTCAATAAGAAACTGTATAATTGAAGTGATTATCCCCACGCCCCTCCCCTCTTTGACTTCCAACTAGGCCACAGAGTTAGGACACACACTAAATGAGAGTGTTATCAAACCTACCCAAGAAAAGGTAACATTGATGCCTGAAGTTTTTCAATTGGTGGTGGGCTGCAGCACTTCAAAGAAAACGGCTTCAGATGTGAATGCGCTATTTTCGACAGTGCTTGCTTATCAGCTTGATGTGAACGTACATTATAAGACAAAAGCAGTGAATTAGTTCTGGTTAACCTTCCAACTGTTTTAGTGGGAGAGGGAAATTGACGTTATTTTTGTAAAATTGTAATTCCCGATCATTTTGTCCCTCTCTTCATCATTCTAGACGCCTGCTTTTATCATATCATATATGAGTTGTTTTTAAACTTATTGACAATTGTAGGAGGTCAGAGGAAGTTGGCCTTTTTATTTGCAAAACATCTTGGTTAAGTTGAGAATCTGTGACTGGACAAGCCTGTTATGCATCTATCTGTCTTTTGCCTTGTAATGTACAGTTGGCATAGTTTAACGGGCACCTGCAGCATGCACATCTCTTTTCCCTCATGCAGAATGATTGTAGCCACATTTCTTTCCAATTAACTTTTTTTTTTTTGAGGCCATTGTAATAATAAGCGCAATCTGACAAAATGATTCCTTACTACACGCTGTTCTAAATATACAGTGGATGTAAAAAAAAAAATCTACACACTCCTCTTTAAATGCCAGTTGTTTGTGACATAAAAAAGTGAGACCAAGATAAATCATTAAAAAGTCATTAATGTGACCTATGACTTGTACAGTTGTAAAAAAAAAAAAAAATCTTTTGGAGAGGGGAAGTAAAAGTAAACAACTGAGATAATGTGGTTGCACACGTGCGCACCCTCTTCTAACTGGTGTTTTGGCTGTGTTCAGAATTAACACACATTCAAACTTGGGTTTAATGGCAGTCACCACACACCTGCAATCATTTCAGTTGCCTCTGATTAACCACAAATACCGGAACTGTAAAGTCCAGCTGTTCTAGTAGGACATGCCTGATTTTTTTTTTTCTAGTCACATCTTCGAGCAGAAGCCATGGTCTGCACAGAGCATCCACGGCATCAGAGCAGTATTGTTGTTCAAAGGTATCAGACAGGAGATGGTGACTAAATTCTCGCCAAGGTAATAACAATGTCAAGAAAGTGATGACATTTCTCATCAAGTATAGAAAATATGGCACAACAGTTACATTAACAAGAAATGGACATGTGCTAAAAAAAAAAAAAAAAAAAAAAGATAAAAACACTCGACGAAAACAAGAGGTCGACACCAATAGTGAAGGAGCTGCAGGAATTTCTGGCAAGTACTGGAAATTAGTAAAGATGGAGGGAATTGCAACAAAGTATTAGTATGAGGGTGTGCATATTTATGCAAGCAAGTTACTTTTATTTTTCTTATCACCCTTAAAATATTTTGTTCTTTTTTTTCAATTCAGATTTATGGGCCACGTGTCACATAACATGGAGAAAAAGTTTGAGATGATTTCTCTTGGTCTTGCTTGTTTTTTTAACATCACCAAAATCTGGCAACGACCACGGGTTTGTGCAGACTTTTTACGTCCAGTGACTGTACTAAAAAAATGTGTTGATATGATTTGTTTCAATCCTTACAATTTGGCTCATCCAGGTGAAAGATGGCAAATTGCTAGATGAAATGACAGTCGGCATCACTGAGTTGGCAAACAAGGTAGGCTGGATGGCAGAGCTCTGCCACACCGAAGGGGCAAAACCAGTCTTGTGAGCGTGACGCAGCGCCACGACAGTAAAGGGAATAAAAAAATGACTGACTGAAAAGAAAAAAAAAAGTTACAATACTATCAATGTGCAAATATCTCGGCGGCGCACCTCCTTGTTTCCACCCTCAGAGACTGGTTTTGTTGAAGCATGTATGTATGTGTATATTAATTCTATGTACTGCTGTTTTTCTTGCTGCCATTTTTTACTCCGGTGGTGAGTATTTGTGTGTACCTTTTTTAAAAATTATCATCACCTTTTTTTTCCCCTCAAGACTGTAACAGCAGCATTATGTTCAAACGGTATTAGATCTTGAACGTGGAATTAATCAAATATGACGTTGTTACTGAATACACAAGACAACTCTGCATGTAATTGTCAACTGCATGCATATGTATTTTTGAAAATATCTTCTTACTTTTGCTGCTGTCAACTATTTAAATTTTTTTTTTTTTTTTTTTAATTTTAACTGTACTGTCTTCTTACTTTAGATGCAGGGAGCTGGTGCCAAATTGACCAATTTCTTCTCGGGAAAACCAGAAGATGGGTAATAATACATTCCATTTACCGAATTAATTGTACTTGAACGTGAATTGTATAATCTAATGATTCCTTGTGCTTAGGGCTGCTGGAGATAGCTACCAGAACATGGATGCTACCGAGGGATATCAGGGCAGTTCTAGCCAGCCTGTCTCAAAGGACTTCTGGGAAACATTTGGTAGCAACAGTTCCCTAAAGGCCAAGAAATCCCCGAGCAGTGACAGCTGGACCATCGCAGATAATTCTGCAAAGAAGAGCTCTGACAGTTGGGACAATTGGGGCTCTGACGCGGCATCCAACAACAAGCACAGCACAGAGGAGAGCTGGGAGGCCTGGGACAACAACTGGGAGAATGCAGACGGTAAGGCCAAAAAAAGTCCCACAAAACCTGCGGAGGAAACCTGGGCCAATGCAGACTGGTAGTCATCTCGAGAGCCTCGACTTCCCCACTTCTGCCTCTCTTTCGCTTGTCATCCCACTGGCACTTAAAGGGAGAGAAGCCGCTCGCCTAACTCTTCCCGTCAATCCATTCAAACGGTCGATGTTGAACAGATGCCCAAAGTTTACATGAAGTGCATGATAAAAAGTCTCATTCGTAAAAATAACAACTATATTGACTTGTTTTATATTATTGTAAATGCTCCTCCCCCACCCCACCCCCAGGGAAAACAATATCAGTGTATATAAAATCATAGTTGATTATCCTACCCCTGAAAATGGAATATAGACCTATTGGTAAATAAGCCAATGTTCATTCTGTATACTTGTGACATTGTGATACTGCTGCTCATTTCACTTCTTCAAGAAAATGATGCATGAGATTAAAAAAATAAAATAAAATCTGTAAATCATTGTAAATACAGAATGAGAGATTTGACGCAAACGTATTCAAACGCAGGGCCACATCAGTGTCCATCACATTTGAACGCTCGTGAATTCCTTTGCATACTGTCAAGGTGTTACACAAAATATTGTTTAGCAGTACAATAAAAATCATGAATATAAATGAACATTGCTACAAGCGGTTGATATTTCACGCTTGTGAACTGATCCAAATCCTTTTTGAACTCTCTAAAGCAACGCTCCACCTTCCTAAAGCTACTACGAATGATGATAGTTCATAAGATCCCTTCGTGGCTTGGTTGAAACAATTTTGTGAACGGCGATACAGTATACAATACTAACAATAACTTGGAAGTTTCTCCCAGCTATTTATTGGGGAAGAGTAAGTGCGTCTTTTTCATAAAATTTATGGTAGATTGTGCTTTTTGTACAAATGTCAAACCCAGGATGCCGTTCACTCACACGCAGCATGTCCTGTAATCATCTTAAATTGGACTTTTATGAAGTTGCACATGCTGTCCAATTCGCGTTGTTTGGGGTGTCGTCAATAGTGCACGAGGAACTGCCATTGTACTTGATCAATGTGAAATACACCTACGTTTTGGTCTACAGATGGTGAATGCTTATGTGTCACTGTCATCGCCTCTTGTTTGACTGAAAGCGACAGACATGACAAAAGTTTCATTCAAATACAACTCAGACAATGTTTACAAGTCCGGGGCAGTGTGCAACGGCACCTTTTATGATGTCGCATTTCAATCTCTCGAACAAACTTGTCATACATGTTTGTTTATGCCCTGCTAAACACCCGTTTGCTGTTTTTGCGCTCAGGTGCACTCTGGTGGCATCTTAGTGTCAAGGAAGTGTGTTGAAATGAGTTGAGGCGTTCCTTTAGCGGTGACTTGATGCTCTCTTGTGGTAGCAAGATGTAGTTACAAACCTCCTGGAGGGTGGGGGGTTCATTTACTTGCAAGTTTTTGCAGCCTTGCTGCAAATATAGAAGGTTCACTACTTTAAATTATGCATCCTGATATCGAGTATCAGTGTTATAATAATTTTAAAATCTATTATACCAGACAAACTTCGTTCTGTTTGTGGAGCTTTGTTTGGAAGAAGTCAGAGCAGTTCTTTCCAGCATTATCATACTTTGTGTAACACTTTGGAAAATACTCCCCATTTTAGTTTTTTCTCCTCCCCTGTATCCACCGAAAAGAAAACTTTATTCCATTCTGTTTCTACCTCAAACAAGAATTTACTACACAGTGTGCGTATGTGGTATGTCTTTATTATCATGTGGATTTCACGTTGTGTTAAAGCAAGACAAAATGGGACGCCGGCAACTTTGATGTGTTTCAATGTCAGTACAGTACTGTGATTTAAAAAAGAAAAAAAAAATCACTCCAAGGACAGTTGTCCTGCTGGACCTGATGTTCCTGTTTGCAAATGTCTTTCAAGCCTTAAACCGCTCTTCTTTGCTTTGTTCATGCTCACGCCAGCTTGTGAGTCTGTGCGTGTGATGCCGTGAGTTGTACATGTTTGTAAATGAACATCTCGTATCATGCGTGTTTGTGCATTGTCAAATTGAAGATCGACTGTGAGATTTATTTTTCTTCCCCTTTCATGACAGCATGATATATAGCAGATATTCGTTTCAAAACAATCTTGTCCTCTTCACGTGAGTCAAAAGCTGAAGTGAATGTCTTGGAGTAATTCGCTGAATGTGTCAAGAAACAAAATGCATCCAGGTGCTGACATAAAAACACAAGACACAATTTGCTCTACTGTATAATCTAAACCTAATTCTACATTAAAAAAAAATCTGCTCAGCAGCAATGCCTGTGAAACATAAAAAAGATGTGGTGTAAAAATTAAAACTTCCAGCTGTTGTAAAATCCTCAAAAGTTGTTTCTTTGTGTTCAAGTGCAGTTCTGTCTGCTTTCCCTCTTTTGAGTTTCGCCAACAGCACCCCATGAGGTGAGCCAGTTTTACACGCACAGGATGTGTGCCTTTTCCCTGTACGCAAGGTTTCTGTGTTGACTAAATTGTGTTGTAAATTTACTTGTATTTTGTCTGCATGGCAATGAGCACACGGGTCACTTAACCTTGTTTAAAAGAACATGTAGTCAAAACAAACAAATGCGTAACTATCTCCGTGACAGAAGTTATGTTGTGCTGACTTACTGTGCATCGGCCGCCCATACAATTGTGTTGAACATGGATCTGACGAGAGTAAATTGCCCACCTCTGCAAATTTAAGTTTAAAGAAAATGATCCCTTCAGAATGTGTGACCTCGAGTTTTAAAACAGTCAGGGTTTCAAAGTAAGGTTTGAACTGGTTGCCAGGCAATCACAAGGCTCCCACTCACACCTCGAGACCATTTGGAGTGTTCCATGAACCTGCCATGCATGTTTTTGAAATGTGAGAGGACACCGGAATACCCGGAGAAAATCCACCCAGGCATTAGGAGAACATGCAAACTCCACACAGGAAGGCCGGAGCCACGATCGACCCCTGCACCTCTGCACTGTGACGCTGTTTGTTTAAGCATCCCTCCATCGTTCTTATTGAAGGCCAATGTTCTCATGTTGATTGTCCCTTTAATGTCTTTTGTTACATAAGATTTATTGTTTGGATGGATTTGAATTTCTTGGGAGGGAACCACTAGCTGCGCACAAATATGAATGAAATTAGTCCTCACAGAAAGAGTGTTCTAATTGGTCCAGTCAAAAACATGCTCTGAGCTGATCCATCCATTTTGAACACCACCTATTCTGAACAGGGTCGCGGGGAGTTGCTGGAGCTCATCCCAGCTGACCTCGGGCGGAAGGCAGACTACACCCTGAACTGGTCACTAGTCAGTCACCGGGCACTCGCACCGTCACTGAGTAGGAGTTGATTCCACGCAACTCCAAGCGTGTGTACCACTACACCATTAGCGACCCCCTGAGATGGTTCTTACTTTCATTAGTCCATTATGGTTTTTTTTTCTTCTTGAGTTTACTTTTGCACGTTGGAATCAAATGACCAACATTATGATCAGAGATCAAAATTGGAGGTCTGCATTCTTCCCATTTACAAAACATTTATCTAGGATACTGTTTTTCCAAGTCTTATTTTTAACAAATTGCTCAGAAACCAGGCGATAGAGACTCTAGGTGACATTTGTTGTTCTTGTCCCAACTATCATAGTTGCAGCATCAGGATGCTTAGACCAGTGGTTCTTAACCTGGGTTCGATCAAACCCTAGGGGTTCGGTGAATCGGTGTCAGGGATTCAATGGAGCCTCTGCCGTGAAGGGTTCGACACACGCGATTCAACGTGTCAGTTATGACACGCCCGCTTGGTCAACGTGTGACTGTCGTGATAGTCCGTCGTATAAAAAAAAAAATTGTACTCATTTCGAGAAATGGTATTTACTTTTTTCTGTTTTTCATAAGTGTGTTTTTTTTTTTTTTTACATATTGAATTTGTAAAACTATATATTTATTTATTTTTCACTAATGAAGGGTTCAGTGAATGTGCATATGCACTGGTCGGGTTCGGTACCTCTAAAAAGGTTAAGAACCACTGGCTTAGACTGATCACGAACACAGTCAGCAATGATGTGTTCAAGATCTGTAGTTGAGGTATACCTGTACGTATATAAAATATAGCACCCCCTGTTGTCTTGGCTTAATCTTTACAGACTGCGAATGCATTTTCAGACAGGACGAGTTTATGACCCCTGCAATCACAAAGTAAAATAACAAACGTAAGTATTAAAAATCATACAACAAAGAAAAATGATAAAGAACATAAAATGAAGCAAAAATTACATCTGCATCAACCTTTAGGCTGCCTTTTTTTCTCTCTTTTAATTGGAGGCAAGTCAGAATTCAACCCCTTTTCAAGTTAAAAGGAACCAAGCGCAGTCCTCAGGAGACTCAAACAATCAGGGGGCACAAATTGCACGTGTATCAAATTCTTTGACATGCACCTTCTTAAAAATATTGATAAATGTTACCTCCCTTGGCCTTAAAGGGGGAATGTAACACTGGTTCATGGGTCGCTCATGTCCACATGGATGAAGAACACTAATACAAAAGCAATGAATCTTAGATATTGCAGAAGCGCATCGAATCAGACGAGGACATGTGACACGGGGCCAGGACACACCATGCTGGGTCATGCTGCTCTGTGAGATTTATTTAGTGATTTTTCATTCTTTTTATGTTTTTGTAGTTTTTTTTTCCACTTGCGCTCTTGTCAAGGAGTGTGATGAGTGGGACAGTCAAGCAGCAAGAGTCACAGTTGATTATCATCATCATGAGCATCCTCCCCCGTAGTTTCAGATTCATTTGTCATCACCAGCATCATAGAAGTTTTCGTCAAGCTAGAAAATTAGTTTACATCACATCGTTTCACTGATTTTGGAGAGCACAAACATTCCAGCAACACACTCTAGGATTAAGGGTGGGTAACAATCAGGGACGGGGGGGAAGAAAAAAAAAAAGCATGACTTTTTGCATAGTATTAAATGAACAAATACATTGAGTTCTTTATTTACAATTATTGTATCGATTTAGAAAAAAAAATAGATATTGTTTAAAAACAAGATGAACACTTAAATCACTTACCCAATAAATGGCTAAGCATGAATGCCAAAAGGTTAGTTAGCTTGTTGGCATGACTCTTTTTCTTGGTTCCACAAACTGCATGCTGCTAAATATAGTACATCGAGGCATGTGAGAATATATTGCAAGAAGTTTCATTGATATCGTGGTTATCATCAGCGGTGGCGTCAGAGTGCGTGAAAATAGCATGGAAATCGCACAGTTTAAGGTGCTTCTGACTGATTGAATTTCATTACTGATGCATGATGGGAGACGTAGTCCAATATATTGACAGTAGAACCTCCAAAGAATGTCAAAAAGGTGAGAGTTTAAACGTGTGACTCAGAAGTCTTGGCGGGCTATCCACCTCAGGAATATAAAAAAAAAAATGTCCATTTCTAGCTAGCCAACAACCGTTTATAGGACTAGCAAACAGAAGCAAAGGGATCTCATGCAGTTGAGAGGATTTAGAAGCGATGTGGAATTATCAAAATTTCTGCTTGACCGGAAAGTTTATCACCGAGTTTGATTGTACAAATGTCATATCAGTAACATTTAGAGTTATACTAAAACTCCATCACCAATAAGTCATGCTACCATTGTAGCAGCGATGGCTAATGTCTGCTTGATTACAGTGCTAATGCAAGCTTAGTATCTCTCGGGCTTCTATTTGGTTGATGCTCGCTGTGTTCTCGTGTTCGAGAATTGTGCTCATGTGCATGTCATGTGAGTGTCATGGAGATTCCTGGAGCGGCAGTTCGTGAAGTGAGGCTACATTCAAATCTTGCTAGCAGCTTTGCTAGAAGTTTTAAATTCCCACTTTAAGCTAAGTGGAAATTTCCTTCCAAAAAACGACAGTCACTACTACTAAAACTACAAACTTAATTTCATCGAGTAGTAGGGTTGTTATAATTTTGCCTCACAGTTTGAGATTCCAGGTTCAAATGTCGGCTCAGGCTTTCCAGTTTGAAGTTAGCATGTTTGATTGGGTGCATCCTCGAAAACCATACAAGAGATCAATTGTGTAATGTGTAAATGTGCGTGTGAATAATGTACCTAATAGTGTACCTCTCACCCAGCTCTAGCTGACTCATCATCTTAATGAAGACAAGCAGGAGAGAAAATGGACGGACGGGTCAGTTTGACCCGCAACATATCAAGAGCCAACAACCGTTTATAGGACAGCATGTTATATTAATAGCACTAGAATTTGATGATTCTAACGATGCCTCCAAAATTACCCTAGGTGACCGAAATGCTCCCCAAAAAGCCTTTCCCATTTCCTTTCAGCCTTTAAGGGTGAGTAGTTTTACTGTATTTTTGTTTTATTCTGTAAATCTTCTTCTTGAATGACATCCATTGTTTGCTAACAGTTGAAATAACTTTGGAGGTTCCACTGTATTTTACATTGAGTGTCAGGGATGTTGATTTATTAATTTTTTTTTTATTGCATCCGCTGTGTGGTGCCTTGGTTGTTGTCATTTTGTTTTGTTTTTTTTACACACAAATGATCAAAGAAATAAACAAGTGCTTTGTTTCTTGGTCAACGTAATTATTTTCCAACAGGCCTGAGCTGACTGGTAAAGCTTGTGCACCCTCTCCACATGGGATCAGATGAGAGGACAGGTGCGAGTGAGGTGGGACAGCTTGGATAGAAGATACTACAATGTATTTATTTTGTAGAAACAAGGTTATAGTTTGCATAATGAGCCTATAGAACACGCCGCATTTGTCAGTGACTTGAGTTAGTAATAGAAAGAGTACAGGCTTCTTTAAAGTGGCCTTTTCCTTCTGAGTGCAATACGTTGGGGTTTTTTTTTTTTTTTGGAACGTTCCTTCTGCTGATCGTGTGGATCGGTCATCAAAGCACAATAAATATTACAACTATTAGTGACCACAGCTGAGATGCTAGAGTACTGTATATTCTGTGACGGCAGGAAGACAAGCTTGGTTAAAACACACAAAAAGCACATCTAGATTTTACACCACATAAGTTGTCATTCATAACCAAATAGTGCAGAAAAAGAGTCTTTTCCCCCCCTTCTATTTAGATACCGGTATATGTCTATAGAAAAAGAGCCAAAGCAACATTCCATTTTTGTGTCATTGTTTTCTCCCTGGAGATGTTTAAAGATGGTGCCGGGAGGCTGTTTGAGGAGGAAAATCAATTCAAATTTCTCTGGATTGAAAAAAAAAAAAAGACATGCTATATCCCAGACTTTAAACAAAGAATTGTGTGTGTGTGTGTGTGTGTGTGTGCGTGTGTGTGTGTGTGTGCGCGTGTATATGCGCCGCTCAAAAAAACTGGTCTTGTTAGCAAGTTCTACTTAGCAACATGAAATTAGACCCACAAAAAAAGTGTCAAAAGCCCATGCCCAACCCAAATGACACAGGAAATCTGTCGTTTTCGTTTGAAAGGGACATTGAAGGGGCATTTTTGTCATTTTAGCCATTGGTCCAATTGCTTTTAAAATTTGTAACTGGATGATGCTAAATTTGGAAGCTTTTGAATTTTCACTGTGGCATGTAAGTGGAACACAGCACCGAAATTTGATGAGTAACCATGTAACACGAAGCTCTAATCACTCAGCTCTGCAAGCTCAGGATTGACAAAATCCAGCCCCCAAAGCCAGCATGAAAAATTTTGTAGGCACGTCTATCACGAGCAGACCCACAAAAAACGAAGCTATGGCCAAAAACACAGAAGAAGAAGTCATTTTGGCTTGTCGTGACCATATTTAGGTCATGGGTCCATCAAAAACAACTCCAAGAAATGTCTGATTGAGCCAAAATTTCAACCAAAATTTGATGATTTGCCATGAAACCTGAAGTTCTTCTAACTTGGCTCCCCAAACTAAGGTCCCCAAAGGCTGTTTAACTTAGCAGCATGAAATTTGGCAGACATGTCTATTATGAGCAACGACAAAATAGTCTCAAGAAGCCAGAGCCGAAAATACTGGAAGTCGGCCATTTTGGTTTGACGGGTTTTTTTGGTCACTTTGGCCATCATTATGGGTGGGTCCATCAAAGACAAACAACTCTTGTAAATTTTGACTAATTGCTCCCAAATATAAACAAAATTTACTTGATTTACGTGATACTAAATTTAGAGGCCTTTCAGTTTCCATCGTGTGACTGGAATATGGCGCCGACATTTGATGGCACATCATGTAATACGAAGCACAAATAAGTGCGCTCCAAAAGCTCTGGGTAATCAAAATTAAGCCTCCAAAACCAGATTTACTTAGCAGCGTGAAATTTGGTGGGCATATCTATCATGAGTAGACCCACAAAAGAGTCTGCCGACGCCTTGCTCGGAAAGAAACAGAAGTCTGACATATTGGCTTGAAGTGGCCATTTCAAAGTCACTTTGGCCATTCAATCAAACTACTTCTCGAGATTTTCTCCACTTACGACCTAATTCAAACAATGCATGCTAGACAGATGGTCAACAATAAATTGGACATAATTTTAGCTTTTGTCACTGCGTGTGGGTGGAGCATGGCAGCAAAGTTGAAAATGTAAAGCAGTATTTTATTTAAGACCAAACTGTTAGTTGAATGAACTACGGGTTAAACCTTCTACCATTTGACTAAGAAATAAAATGTAATGCAACCAATCTTTTTTGGTTTAAAAATGGTCTACAGTGATGTGCGGATGTTGGTTTCTCTGACAAAGTTAACACACTGAAATTTATCTGGATTTTGATGGGGGCAGGAGGAGGGGACACAATATAGCTCACTGACATTGTTAAAAAGAATTCCTGTGACGTGAAGATATACAGTATTACTTTGCTAATGTGACTCAAGCAGTTCATTTTTGAAGGTCCTGATATCAACCTTTAAACTGGTTAAGAAAAAAAACAACACTATTTTATAATATATGAAAAAGAAGGAAGAAGCAGCAGTGAAAGAAAAGCGAATGATGGAATTGTTCCACCCTCTGTCCCCGTGGAGGCCTTTCGTAAAAGCAAACAAAGGCAACTCCATCCCAACAATCATAAAGAATAATACTAAGATTCCACATTTACTACCATTATAGTTTGGTTTCTTTTCGTTTGTTAATCCCTAAAAATATCTACAATATTTCACAAGATAGCAGGCAAAATCCAGCACATTTTTTTCCTTATTCTCCCCCCACCCCCACCCCGCATGTTTTTTTTTTCCATTTAGTTTTAATTCTCAGCAATAATAACAACACACCAAGTGAGCTCTGACATCCCTTCTTTCTCGAAACCAGGAAGTAGACTGTATCTCTAAGTGGTCTGTAAACAAATTACATTCTCTTTTAAGACATAAATAAGTCAAAAGTACTTTCGAGCCATTCGAAGCAGGAACAAGGCAACATGCCGACAAACAAAGATAAAACTCTTCTCTACTGTAAATATATTTATATGTGTTCATATTTATCGAATATAATCCCGTAAATGCTCATAAATCGCTGTTGTGTTATTTTTGCTCTCCTCTTTTCTTTTTTTTTGGGTGGGGGGGCGGTGGGGCGGAGGTGCAAAGCTGCTGTGCAAGTTGGGCCCTGGCACCCGGTCACAAATATCATGTGATCATGCCACGCAGAAGGAGAAGAAGAGGAGCAAGCTGTTCTTATGTCCATCGCAAAAAAGAATCCAAATGGGAGGGCGGGCTCGGAAGCCTTTTAAATAAAACTCGGGCAATGTACATTCATGCAGGAGCAACAATAATAATAGAACAATAATATTAATCAGAATAGAATTACGAGGAGAGGTTCCAGTGTTTGTCTTCCTCCTCGCTGTCTTCCGTTTGCTCAACTGCGAGACAACCACAAATGCAAGATGGCTGTATCGCTTTTGTTTCATCTTTTTTTTTTTTTTTAAGCGATGGCGAGGTTGATGCCGCTGTCGATGGCGTTGTTGTTCTTGTTGGGCGACGACGGCTGACTGGAGTACTTCCCCCTCCGGCGAGCCGAGTCGTCGTCCGTGTCGTCGATGAGCGGGATGTTGGGCGTGGAGTCCTCTATCCTAAACTCGGGCTGCGTCATGAAGTTGTGGATGGAGGTGCGGGAGTCTGGCTTCTCCAGGCCTTCGTAGAGGGAGCTGCGGAATGCGTTCACGACGCGTATCTGCCGTGTGGGAGGGAGAAGAGCACATGTTGGGATTAGGATGAGGCGAGATAGCTGGGAAGAGGTGGGGCGTGGAAGGAGGGAGCCTCTCATGGATGATGTCGGACATCCCGGCTCTTTATGTTAACATGGAGCTGCCTTATTGGTGTTGGCTAAAACATGGGAAGCTCTGTTGGTCTGTTAGTTTGATGCTGAATCCACCAAAGTGGTCTATTCATGGATCAAACATTTGTTGCGAATTCTGCCCTTCAGCTCCTTGTTAGAAAGCAGCAAGCTGTGCAAAAACTTTTTTTTTCTTTAACTTAGGAAAGTTCATTTTTGTAGTTTTTGTAATGCACTTTTTAAGATGAGTATGAAGTACAATGTTACAACAAGCTGTGCAAAAACTTTTTTTTTTAAACTTAGGAGAGTTCATTTTTGTAGTTTTTGTAACGCACTTTTTAAGATGAGTATGAAGTACAATGTTACATTCAGTGGAATGTTATTTTATGAATGTCCTGGTTTACCACAGTACAGTTTACTCACTAAATTTTCCAAGAAGAATGACCTTGGTTAACACACTATTTTTGGTTTCTGAATAGTCTTGCGATTGATTCACAGAAAGCTCAGTTGTGCTTTTTTTTTCTTCACCGTGTAAACATCACTGCCCCTGTGCCTCATACATTGCAAGTACAGTACTGGGCACCTGCAGAAATTCACTCTGACACTCATGTACTACTCTGGGAGTATGTGTTCAGATAGGCCACTGTGTCAAACTCAAGGCCCGGGGGCCAGATCTGGCCCGCCACATCATTTTATGAGGACAGCGAAAGCAGCTCAAACATGTCAACTTCCATCATCCTCTCTAAAAGGTCTACCAAACTTGTTAATTCTCATATGTAATAAATAAGAGATATATTTGAAACATTTTCTTGTTACCAAACCCCTCATGATAGTAACAATAGTTGAATCAACAGTTATTCTTGACTTCCTTATATGGTTTCAGTCATAACAGCCCTCCTAGTGAAACTAAAATGTGGCCCGCGCCAAAAATGAGTTTGACACCCCTGAGATAGGCAAAGCACACTCCCTCTCGTTAATTTCCAAAAGCAGCTCATGTTCGAAACTGATCAGTTCCTGCTTGAACTGCTTCCATCTGTACTACCTGACACATTGGCACACCGTGTCCGTCGTTGGAGCACCTAGTGCGCTCACCGCCACTCCGTTTTTGGTGCACTATGAATAACCAAATGGAACATTTCAACAACGCGCCGAGTTTCAAAATAGTCGGAGTCAACCTGCGCACGCTCGCAGAGCCTTACCGAACACACCCTTTGTTTTTTTTTCTGCTTGTCAATAACCCTAAGAATGGCTCCTGATGAAAAGTGCAAGCATTAGGAAGCCCAATTACTATTAAAAAGAGTCATTAAATTTTCCTGTCACTCAAATCTGTACAGCACTTTTCCCAAAACCAAATAGGCTTAAAATAGGTGCACACAAAGACAAAAAAAAAAAAAAAAAAAAACTGTCTTGAGCCTTCCACTGACTAGCAGCCACTGATAGGCCAGGTAGCAAGTGTTTAAACGCATCGAGAGAGATGAAACTGCCATTGAGTCTCCTTGACAGTATTTCTATATTGTACAGTATTCATATTTGAACCACACACTGATGAAAATAAGGTAACTGTAACTTCAGTCTGCGACTGGAATGGATTATTGCATTTCCATTTATTTCAATTGGAAACTTGACATTAGATTACGAACATTTTCGTTGTTAAACAGTGTCTCGGAACAAATTATATTCGTAAGCCGAGGTTCCACAGTATATACCCATAAATGATATAGTGGTAAAAGTAGTACAGTATTTTCAATTACATATTTTTAATCGCCTGTCACATTTAAAAGATGATGACAGTTTATATTCAACAAAATACTCTGTGTGAGGCTCTTTTGGCGCCAACTTGAGCTATCTTATATGAATATCTTAAATGCTAGTTTCCTGCAAAAAAAAAAAAAAAAAAAAAAGATTCCCCGATATTTTGCCAAATTTCCTCCAAGTATTGAGTTGGTTTGCTGAACAAGTATTTAAATTGAAACCTTCTGGCATTTTGAGAGCTGCCATTTTAAAAATCGTGAAATTGCCCAAAGCCCCTTTGTTTTCCCAAAACCAACATGGCGGCTCATCCTTTGTGACATCACGTCCACTTCCTCCATTGGAGCTTGTTAATAGGGAGTCGGGGTGAGTGGATGACGTCTTCGCTGTGCTTTCACAACGTTACTATACACTTCACTCAGGTTGGGGTCGTGCACTAAAGGAAAACTGTGAGGAACAAAACAATCACAAAAAAAAAAAAAAAAAAAAAGGAAAACAAAAACAAAAACAAAGCTACACAAATGCCTGTTATAAGTATACGCTTTTAGTCCAATGTGCTGTATACCTAGAAACAAGCCACGTTAATCAACACAATGCTCACAGAAATAAAACACACCCCAAAAAAAAAAGAAAAAAAAAAGAAAAGAAACACAAAATTAAGAAACGCATGGTCATCGACCACTACGTTGTATCCCACCGGGCACCGTTCAGTTTTCAACATAAAACATGATTTGGCTTCTTCTTAGCCCTGCGCTGACTTATCTGCACAATCTAATGATGTATTATAGTATTGTTTTTACAAAGATAAGAATGTTTAGTTTTGATTGACACTGTATTCATTTTTAAAATATTAAGCATGGTTATGATTGCATCTCACTGACAGATGTTTCACATGCATTTGACTCAATTTACCCCAAAAAGGGGAATAAAAAAACTGTCCACAGCCTCTTATAAGTGGGGATGTGGCTGTGTTTATGACTGATACATATTCAGACTCATAACACATTAAATGGCACACACTTGCCACCATCTGCAACGCCTCTGATTATCCCAAATAAAGTTCGGCTATTGTCGAAAGTTTTTCCTGACACGTCGTCATATATTTTACAGCACAAGCCACAGCCTGAACGTCTTTTATATTCACTGCACATCTGATTCTACAGATTGAGATCAGCATCAAAATATCATCTCCTCTTCCAACCGATAAAGCCCCGCCGCCCAAAACATACTGTTACGCTACATTAATTATCCGACAGTGCCAATCAAAAGTGAGCATTATGACATCACATAACCCATAATATACAATGTTATGCTTTCTAGCGCCGCCTGTATTGTCCACGAATGCCATCGATTGTTCAAATGAAGCACAGTGAAATCTCTGCGGCAGCAGCGGAGGGGGGCGACTATGAATCCATAGTCTGACACCGGTGGGATACAATTTAGGAGAATATCACATGCAAGTCGGAGGAACTCTGGTGGACAAGGTCAGTAAGGAGGAAGGAGGTTAGATCTCAGCCATCCAATCAGGCGCTCTAAAAACAAACAAACAAACAAACAAACAAACAAACAAACAAACAAACAAACAAACAAAAAGTACCAGAGCCAACTCCGCCGGCTCAGCATCCACACTCTCGGCGTGGGACACACAAATAGAGCACAGGGTGGTCCCAAACAAGAGGAAGGCGGGGATGGTTTGCGCACATAAACAAGCAGTGCGGGAGTAGACGACTCACAACAACACAAGACAGCACACGCGTGTTGTGAGACAATGAGCAAACGCCGTCACGTAGGCTTGACGACAACAGGAAGTCAACGCAACCGACATGCAACGAGACAACGAGTATCAAAAGTTGACACAAAACACATGGATGGGAAGAATAGTTCATATAATATTTTTTTTGTTTTATTATATCAGGTCTGGTGGCCTCAACGCCATGCATGGATTGGTAAACATTCAAGTAAGAGCATTAGATATTTAATCAGTCTATTGAGGCCATTTAATGATGGATGGTTTAATGATATAAAATGATTCCTTTTTTTTTTTTAATGTTTGAATTTTAATTGCAGATTACTTTCCTTCAATATTTCTGTTCAGTTTTTAAATAAGATACTGTATAATATTAAAGATAGTGCAGTAATACATTAATAACTCAATTTAATGGACAAGCAGTTTTTTGTGTTTATACATTTAAAATGTTTATTACAGTGTACATTTTACACTCATGCAAGTCCTAAATGATTATATCCAAAAGTGTTGAATAAAAGTATACATTAAAAAATGTGTATCAGGTTTGGATTATTTAAAATAATTACAAATCTTACAGTGATTTTAGATTTTGGAAATATATTTTATAAATACCTGTCACAATTTTATAATTTTGCACACTTTTTTTACGATTCAAAAATATTTGTTAAGCTAATGAAAGCGTTGAACAGTGAAAGCTATATTCTGTGGTTGTAAGTGTAATAAATAAATGTAAATAATGCCAATCAGTCAAGTTTTGGATCCTACCTAATAAATAGCACGCGCGTTTATTGAGAATATGAAGTCATGTGACAGAATGTGTTGACACATAATCGATGGAGTGTTCCAAAACAGCAGGAGGTTGAAATTGCCAATTGTCGCTGTGGCTGCCGACGATGTCCTGTATGTGTCTGTAACCATGGCGACATGACACTCAATTACACGACAAGATGAAGCAACAGGACGGGGATGAATACATTTTATGGTCGCTTCACATTTACTCTAAAATTGAGAAAATAAGAATAAGACTACCGGTAAATCAATGTATGACAAAGGAAGACATTTTAGTTAGTCGAGTATCATAAAGTAAACCATCTCCAAGTTTGGATCAATCAGTATAGTGCTAATGCTTTTAGCATATTAGCAATCTTTTTTTTTCTTCTTTTTTTAATGTCACCTATTGACAAAAGTCAGGATTCCTGCCACCAAATACAATGAAACAGAACAACACTCCGTTGTTCCTTAAACCGGTACCATCGGAAAAGAATCATCTCAAAGCTAACATTTTTAGCATGCTAGCATTATTTTTTTTTTTTTTGCCACCTATTGAGAGTGAAATAAGACCAAAATCCTAAAATGAAGCAAACCTCTGCGGCTCATATTTGAATGTTTACCATCGGTGGAATTAGTTTGAGTTAGCGTCAAACGGGTCGGATGCTGGTGGTGAAGGTTAGCGGTCGAGTGGTGGTGGGGGGGGGATTGTTGGTTTTACGGGAATATGAGCAGAGGGAGACAAACTCACAACCTGAAATGTCACGCCGTGGGTATCACCCTTAGTCCCGCGCTCCTAGCACTCTGAGGAAACAGACAACACATCGACCAATGAGAGGACATTACACCCGAGCATGGGAGGAGATTTGAAATCCAGCGTGAATAGCAACAAGACAGAAATACGCAAACAAAAAAGCAGAAACGAGGCAGAAAATTAAAGAGAACGCTTCAGAGACTCCAACCCCTCTCAAAAGCTCTCTGATTGGTTTCAAGGGATTCATAGAGTGGAACCTCCAAAGTGGAAGACTGAAATTATTTCATTGTAAAACAATTTTATCTGCCATACAAGGGTAAAGAGAATGGTACAACTAAAATACAGCAAAATTACTGGACCTTTGAAAAATTGACAGAGTTCATGTTTTTGGGCCAGTTGTTCAACAAATGTAATCTGCATCGAAAAAATCGGGATTTGGAAAATTACCAAATCTGGATTATCAGTGTTCTATATTGGACAACATATCACAATGTGGGCTACCAGCAATGTTCAGAACAACGGGTAGAAGAGCCAAACTTGTAAGTGTTTTTTTTTTTTTTTTAAACATCCACTCCGATGTAAGATTTCTGTTACGGACACTCATCTGAGCAGCAATACATAATTATTATTGTCAAGAACATTTTTGACTTTACTTCCCCTTCAATACATTGCCAAGGAATCGGACAGGGACCTTGTAATGGCACATCCTCAAAATCAGGTGACTGGTACTCAGGTGCAAATAAAAAATGTGATCGGGACATCCCTAGTTCACAATGTACAATATCCCCCCCAGCCCCCCTCCTCCAAATTGTACAGAACAGAGACCACTCAGTTCAAATGCAGGCAAGAAATTTGATAGCCTGCAACTCTCTAACGGATATTGACCTTCATCAGGCCGAGCTTTGGCTTTATAATCGAGAGACCGACATCCTGCTGTGTGGTCTCTAAAGCGTTCCAACTGCCTCCCCTCAACAGCCATCGAGCTCATCAGTCTTTCTTCCTCCTCCTCCCCAGTGGCCCATCCCCAGAAGCAAAACCTACATTCCCTCGTTGAGTGAGTCCAACTTGGATTGACGCAGTAGCTAGCTATTTTTGGCCCTGTAAATTTAGCAGTACAAATGACCTCATCAACCTCGGCTGCTTTCGTTTATTAGCTCAACAGCAGAGTGCTGGCATTCTGCCCTTCATCAATCATCGCTTCTACATCGATTTTGGCTACAATCCGCTCAATGATTGATAGAAATCTAGCACTTTGTTTGTACGTGTTCAACCCTGGAGGCTCCGCTCAGATTTTAGCAAAGAAAAAGGGGGCTGACATCCCTGAAGGCGAGCAGACAAACAAGCAGACTGACAGAGTTCTGACTCACGGCCAGTAGACGGAGCAGCAGCAGCAGCAGCAGCAGCGCTTGTAGGAGAGGAAAGGGCATTGGACAAGGACACATGACTAGGACTAGAAACATTGGTTACATCCTGGTTCTGGCTGGTGGTGGACGATTGGCGTCTCAGAGCTCCCGCCCCCTGAAAGGAGGTGCCGCTCTTGAAGGTGTTGACTACTTCGATCTGCGGGGAGGAAAGAGCGGGACAGGAGAGGACAAATGGCGGCTCGGGGTGAGCACGGCGAGTCCAGTGACCACAACATAGCACAACATGTCCCGATTGTGGGGCGAGACCAGGCTGAAGGTCAAGGTGTTGCATCACCTCGGCAAAATGCTTTTCTGGCCACTCTCGTTGAAAAGGGAGATTCCCTGCCTGACCTCTAATGCGAATATACATTTGTAATAATTACGGCATCTATAAGGATTTGATTTATCAACCAGAAACTTTTATTATTTAGTTGTTGTTTTTTTTTTATATATAACCAATTTAAGGAACCTAAACTGAAAGGCTATAGGATGCTACAAACACAAGACAGTTAGCGTCATGTAATGTAAGGCGTCACTACCGATTTCATTTCATTTGATTCACTATCATTTATCATTATTATATATTATCCTATTAGTATTGGAGGTAACATGTTTCAAACATAATAAATTGTTACATTCATGTAATAATTAAAAAAAAATGTTTTGATTCGTTTTGTTGTGGCACACTTGCCTGATTTGTGTGTAGGCAGCGTGTGCTCACTCAGTAAAAGTGTGATTGTTTGTTTGTTTCTACTTATGCCCTGCGATTGACAGCGACCAGTTCAGGGTGTAGTCCGCCTTTCGCCCGAAGTTGGCTGACATACAGTTCAGTACCCCGTGCCCCTGAACTGTAGCAAATGGAAGAATGGAACACTGCTCCAAAAGTATTCAATTAAATAATTAGGGAAAACAAATTTGGGATCAATAAAAAGTGCCTTTTAAATGTTTTTTTTTTTTTTTTTAAGTTGGAACCTATAAAAAGTGTACAGTTGGGATTTTAGTCCAAAAAGTCAACCTTTGTGGGCATATATTCTTCTGCTTCTCTGTGGCTTGTGTTTCTGTTTAAATTTCACCTTCGTGCATGGTTTGACCATACTGTGATTTTTAATTTTTTGTAATTATATCATTATTTTTTTTAATGTCACACATTGACTTTCATGTTAGTGTTAAACGCTTCATACTGACAGACTTCCTTACCAAACTGTAATTATAATTTGCAAAAAAGGAAAAAAAAAAACAATGAGCAATTCAATTAATTAAATATGTGGATACACGTGTACATTTTGACCGCTTTTTTTTTTTTGGTAATTGTCTTTATGAAGCCCTGTCGGACATCGACCCGTGTTACCATTCCGATGTGATAGCTTCAGCCTGGACCATCAGCGACACACAGAGTGAGATGAAACCACTGAGTACACAACAATCAGACTGTCTTGAATATCACAGTGATCAGGTCTGCAGAGCTCAGGGTCCAAGGACCATCTTCTTGGGGGTGGGGGGGGGGGGGTTCCACCAGGCCCATCACCTCCAAACCCCGAGTGAGAGCCACGCCTCTGTGAACTTAACTCATCTTGAGAGCAAACATTTTCCGTTACGGCGTCACAAACATTGAGCGTGATTTCGACTTTGCAGGTGACGTCACGTAGCTTAAAACTACGAGTGAGCGCCCCACCTGAGTCTGAATGCGGTTGAGTCCCCTGAACCAGAGGATCTGGCCTCTCCTCAGCTCTCTCTCCGCGTGGTCGATCTCCTCGTTCTCCTCGTTTACATCCTCCTCGGGGAGTTCGTCCTTTTGGCTGAGCTGGCCGGCCCGCCGCAGGAAGCGCAGCTTGCTGTTGGGTATTGTGGCGATCACCTGAGACCCGCAGAGAGGGGGAGGTTTACATTGTGTACGTACGAGTGAGTGTGGAAATGCAATTTATAAACGTGATGCGGTTGATATATTACTTCCACAGTTTAAAAAAAAAAAATTCAAGATAAAAACATACTCAGATAAGAGGAATGACATATTTTCTTCTGAATGAAGACCCCCCCTAGATTATTACTGTATATCAGTATTAAAGTTGGAATTCCATCAGCATCTTATTCTTTCCAAGAATTAAGTCGCTTTTTTTTTCCAGCAGCTCGATCCAATGTGCGCTAAATATTAGAGATGAGCTCTGTTATGGAACGGCGCGCTCAGAAGTGATGCGTAGAAATTGTGACGGGTTCGTTCATTACCTGCCCCCACACGAGCTCCCCCAAGCCGAGGAAAACGCACCACATCCACTTCTCCAGGTCCAGAGGCTGACAGCTGAACGGCTTCCCTCCAAACTGCACAATTATTATCTAAACAGACGCAAGCAGAAATCAAAATAACAAGGACACAAAAGAACACATTTAGTATGAGTCCACTTTAAGTACAATTCATGTTGTCCAAAAACTTTTTTGACCTGCACAGCGAAGGTGCCAAAAACGATAGAGCAGAAGATGGGGTTCCTAAAGATGCCCTCGAAGACGTTGCGCTCGCCGTGTATCTTGCGGGCGTTGATTTCATTAAAGAGCTGCATCATGACGAAGGTGTTGAAGATGATGGTGTAGTGCTCCGAGGGGGGCGCGTGGAGGGGGGCGTTGCGGCCGCTGTCAATGTCGAAAATCTGCTCACCTGTGGAGGAGAATAAACTGTGAAGTCATGTTACTATATGCAAACAAATATATGAGACCACCTTATCTTACACAGTGTATCAATATTCCCTTTTAGCGGGGTTGTTAACAGCACTGTTCTCTCTAGTATGTAAAATTTAGAAGACATCTTTATTTTCACTTTACAAGAACGTCAAACACTTGGTTTTCCAAACGAATCACCGAGCTAAGATTTAGTTGTATGAGCACCGTTTCTGAAAATCACATCTGTCCATCAGCCACTGGCCCATGCAAAAACGCAATCTTAGTATCGGAGCAGTGGACCTTTTTCTCACTGTCTTCCTTGCTTTCCGAACACACTGCTATGTTTGGAACTTAATTGTATGTTGCAACGCGGCAATGAGCCCATTTCACACGGCTGTCAGTCAGTGTGAAAGATCGAGCGGCGGTGCACTGAGACTTTTGTCGCTGGTTTAGACGGCACCTGGACAAAATGGCTTTCATTGTTGCCAAATAAAGCCCCCGGCTTTGCTCATTTTAAGGAGAAGGATTCGAGCAGCAGGATAAAAAAAATCCTTCACTTATGGCTCAGTGGAAACATGGTAAGCTACACTTTCACCGAAACCGCGTTGAGGTAGGCTGGGCAGGGAGCAGTGTCTTAAACATAGCACACAATGTCATCTCTTGTGTGTCCCAAATTATGGGACACGGAGACACCGCATTTATTAGGCTTCCTCCATTATTCTCATGCCGTTAGTCGCAAAAAAAAAAAAGTCAGCCAAAATAGCACAAAATCACTGTGCCAGCTCTTCTCCTAATGCAAGGGTGTCAAACTCATTTTTGTCGTGGGCCACATTGTAATTATGGATGTGGCGGGCCAGATCTGGCCCCCGGGCTTTGACTTTGACACCTGTGTCCTAATGGAAGGGCTTGTTTGACATCATGGCGCCACCGTAGACATCCTCTAGCCGCACCGCGCAGCAACACTCCACTTATACAATGAATGTGCTCGTCAATGCTACGCTGCTAAGCGCAGAGTGAAAAGGGCTCAAGTCCATACCGATGAAGAGGAGGAGAAAGATGATGATGAGCTGATAGACGCCGTGTCCCAGAATGTTCTTGGTCATGGTGCTGGAGATGAGCGGCTTGTTGCGTCCGTACGGCTTCCTCCTGAGCAGGGCCTCTGTGGGCGGCTCGGTGGCCAGGGCCAGCGAGGCGAACGTGTCCATGATCAGGTTGACCCAAAGCATCTGCACGGCTTTCAGCGGGGAGTCCTGAGTAGCGCAACATGCACTTAAAACCACCGACACAAAAATATTCACACGGGCTGCCTTATCATCATGCTGTCGCGTTTTTAAAAACATTTTTTTTTTTAAGGGTTATTTTTATGCCGCTTCACCAAGTCTAGACGTTATTATTTGAGCTTATGGAGCAGCCTGTGATACATATTTGCATTTATTAAGTGATTCTTATGAAAATAAAATTTGATATTTTGGAGGAAAGAAATTCATAATCTTGTAACAAGTTTATTTTTTGAGGATTAAAGGATTGCGTTTTTTAGTGAAAGCTGAGTGGTGAAAAGAGGATCAATTTTTCACAAGTCACAATAATGCAGACACAAAATCATACGTTTTAGAACTGATGCTGCATCTGTGAAAATGAAATGTATATTTGAAAGAAAAATAAAGTTATAACACACTGATTCTTAGTCAAATATTTGTCACAACCTTATGGATAATAAAGTATATTGTTTGGAGTTTGGAGGAGAAAAAGTCATCCCACAAGAAGTTTTATTTTTTTTTGATGAGAAAATTTTGATTTTGACTACGACATAGTGAGAGGTCTTATTCAGCTACATCATCATGCAAGACAAGTGCGCCTGACTTCATCTCGGCTCATCCGTTCGTACCTGTGTGATGCAGGCGCCCGTGAACGCTACGATGACGGCGACCACGTTGACCGTCAGTTGAAACTGGAGGAACTTGGAGATGCTGTCGTAGACGTTGCGGCCCCACATCACCGCCTTGACGATGCTGCTGAAGTTGTCGTCGGTCAGGATGATGTCGGACGCCTCCTTGGCCACGTCAGTACCGGCGATGCCCTTTGGAAGGAGCGTGGGAATAACGTTTGAACATTTACATTCATCATAGAGATGTCCAAACTACTAACCAATTGTATCCCGTCTTCCATTTTTTTTAGTGCTTCGCAGATAATAAAAGTAAATAGTTTCAGCAGCCCCCCCCAAAAAAAAAAAAAAAAACAAGAAAATATTTTAATGTGTTTTTTAAAGAAGGAATATAGCAAAATATAATATTGTACTTAAAAAACATATACCATAGTTATAACACAATTAAATGTAGGATATTAAATAGACATTTTAGCATTCATTCTGCTTCATCTTCTGGTGTGTGCAATTTGGCCACCGGGGGCAGCATTATACAGTCATGCAGACAAAGATGAAGATGAGTTTCACAACGACTGCTAAGTCAATCAGTAAACTGCAGTCACTTTTTTTTTTTTTTTTTTTTGCAAATGGTAAACAAACTGCATCGTGTCGCGGTCCGATTTGTCAACAAATCACATTTAACATTGATTTAAAGATTGCCATTTTACAACAGAAACAGAGCTGTTTCACCTCAACTGAAAACTGTGATAAAGCAGTTTTTCCAAATAAATACAGCTTTATAAAAACAATACAAAAATGCCCAAGTGGGTCTTGCATCTTTCCCATATTTCCTGTATGCGACCCGCTGAGGAAAAGTGTGCACACACCTGATTTGTGAGCATTTGTGGTGACTTCATACATGTGGAGGAAAAAGTGGGTCATTGCTCAACTGAGTGACGCTTTATTGTCCATAACACTGTACACGAGCTAAATGAGAGCAGAATCGGTTCAACTCTTCACGGTGTCACTCAGACAAAACGGATTATGCCACAGACACGATAGTTCGGCAATCTGCTGCAGTGACGGTATGTATGTCCCACTGTCCTCCACCAGGGGGAGCTCGTGATCTTTACAACCGCAACCCCGCATTCCGCAGAGGTGAAGACGAAACATCTGCAGATGTGGAGTGAGATCTATCTCTTGGAGGTGAATAGTTGTGGTTACCATGGCAAAGCCGACATCAGCCTTCTTCAGGGCGGGCCCATCGTTGGTCCCGTCGCCTGTCACCGCCACCACCTGCCTCTGTTCCACCATGGTGCTGTCAATAATGCCTGGCACAGACAAAGCAACATGTTTGTTTGCAATTTATCCCCCTATGTTTGATTAAAATACGTGTTTTGCAGTGAAAACTCACAAGCGAAATAATTCTCATAAATAGTGCTGGTTTTGGTAGTAATTCCTGTGACAAGGAAACAGTATGATGATGCTCGTGTTTTTTTTTTTTGTTTGTTTTGTTTTAAAATTAAGACAAAGCAGTAAAAATGTATGAATATAAATGTTTGTTGGCTCTGAATCTGAAAAGTGGGATTTTTTTTTTTGTGTTATTTTTTTTAATAATAGTCTTTTTTTCCCCAGAAAAATTTGGATTATAAAAATGTTGAAATCAGATATTTTGAGGATAAAGTCAGATTTTAAATATTTTTGTTGTCATTAAAAAAACTGTAACATCACAGGTATATATATATATATATATATATAATATGTAGATAGAATAAAGTCATGTATTTTTAGGGGGGAAAAAGTCTTATTTTAGTGAAAAAAGCTGTACTATTACAAGAATAAAGTCAGCATGGTATTAATGAACTCATAACGTTAAATAGTGCTGTATTATATGCCAATGAAACAGCATGGTCAGCACGACGGCAAATGTTTTATTTGACTTTAGAGTTATTTTATAATTAATGCAGAGCAATGAAAATTTATGAGTATAAATGAACTTGGCTAGTTTTTGATTGTCATTTCTGTGCCAGTGGGGGAAAAAAAAGCATGGTGGGAATGACTTCAGTGTGCTGTTTTATTTTTATTGACTGTAACTCTGTTTTAAAATCACTGAAGAGCAAAATGAACAAGCTTTTTTTTCAGCGTGTATTTTTCTAATTGTGCCAAGAAAAAGCATGGTGGACATGGCTGCTGCATTTGTCCCTTATTCGCACCCAGCCCGTGAATTCCGTCCAGCAACAAGTGATGCGACCAAGACAAATGCATAGTTACCTTTAACTAGTGTGTGTTTGTCAGTCGGGGAGGATCTGGCCAGGACGCGCAATTTAGGCCAAACCTTATCAATACGCTCCTGCTCCACCTGAACACAAGAGCAGAGGGTGATGTCTTGTTTTCTCAGGGTCAACTCGATCATGCTCAGACAACAGCGTACCTCCCCTTTTTCATTGCGGATCCTCCTGTTGAACTCTTTGCCGTCGATGCAGAGGAAGTCCTCTCCAGGATGGATGATGCCACACTTGATGGCAATGGCTCTTGCCGTGTTGATGTTGTCCCCGGTTACCATGCGCACAGTAATGCCCGCGCGCTGGCACTTCTGAATGGCATCCGGCACCTACAGAAGTGCACAAGCAACAGATATGTAAATTTTTTTTTTACATGCACGGTAAGGTCACAATTTGTTTGGAATACGGTCACATTTAATGTGTGTCTTGAACAGTAGTGATCATAGGCCAAAATCAACATCGCCCCTGTGTGTGATATTAGTAGTGGCAAACTGGCAATACAAACCCCAATTCCAATGAAGTTGAGATGTCTGTGTAAATTTTTCGCAAAAACAGGATATAATGATTTGTAAATCCTTTTCAAGCTATATTCAACCAAATACGCTACAAAGACAAGATATTTCTTGTTCAAACTTATTAATGTTATTATTCTTTTGCAAATATTCTCTTATTTTGAATTTGATGTCTGCAACATGTTCCAAAAAAGTTGGGATGGGACAACAACAGATCGGGAAAGAGGAGGAATGTTAAAAAAACGAAACAAAACTGGCATCATTCATGTTGTCACGTGGGCTCAGGAATGTTGCCATGCATCGAGAAAGCTATACATAAACAACACCCAGAAATGCCGTCGGCTTCCCGGGGCCTCAGCTCATCTGACACGGACTGATCCCAAAGTGGAAAAGTGTGCTGTGGTCTGACGAATCCACATTTCAAATTGTTTTTGGAAATCATGAATGTCGTGAGAGGAAAAGGACTATTCAGATTGTTATCAGCACACAGTTCAAAACCAAGACTTACACTGACATGCCAGCAGTCCAGACCTGTCTCCCATTGAGGATGTGTGGCACATTATAAAGCGCAAAATACGACAGGATACCCCTGACAGACGAGCAACTGAAGCTGTACATCAAGCAAGAATGGGAAAGAATTCCACCGCCAAGGCTTCAACAATACTATTCCCAAATGCTTATTGAGTGCTCTTAAAAGGAAGGGTGATGTAACACAGTGGTAAACATGCCCGTGTCCCAGCTTTTATGGGACTTGTTGCAGGCAACAAATTCAAAATGAGTGAATGTTGCCCCCCCACCACCCCAAAAAAGAAGAATATTTTTCAGTTTGAACATCAAATGTCGTGTATTCAATTGAACATAGGTTCAAAAGGATTTGCAAATTCTTGTATTCTGTTTTCATTTACATTTTCCACAACCTCCCTGCTTTTGGCAATTAGTACCTTTTTGTGGGGTGTCCATAACAATATTCTCAGATTTTCACAGGAAACACAGGTCTATTGAAATGCGAATGTGGAAGTCCCACCACGCATTTCTTGTTTATTATAGTTGGATGATCCCCCATGGGGAAATTCTCCTCACGTAACAGACCAACAACCATCCATACATAATCCGAACCGGTTTTCCTCACGGGGGTTGGCCATTGTCATAAATACAAGAACATTGTGCACAGTACGCAGTGCACGCAGTTGGTGCGGCGGGCTCTGCGCTGGCCGTGTGTGATCATGTGATGTCGAACAGCATGGTGGATCCGCTGGGAGATATTATGTATGGAGAGTGATGCACGCGAGAAGCCAGCATGTCCTCTTCTCTGGCAAAGGTCAGTGTGGGCGAGCCGCGCTCTCCAAACCCACACATGTACAAACACAGAGGCGGACCAATGCATATGTTTGACTCGCGAGTCACTTGGGTATGTTCCACATACTTTTGCTTTATTTGTTTTGCCTTTCTTCAAACGAGAAACTCTGATTCCAAATGGCGAGAAAAACCACGGATCACAACAAAAAGAAATTAAGGATGACTTGCAATCTGAATTTCAGCATCATTGTTTGAACGACAGCACAATCTTAATCACCATTTTAAAACTGTCAACAGTACAGCGATGAGTGTCTTACTGTGTTTTGCCCTTGACACGCAATCAAAATAGGAAGGGTGTACTGACACAGCCAAGATTTTGGCAATGGAGCGACAGATTGTATTGTATAGTGACAAGAAAAAGCCCTCCAAATAAATGCTACATCGCCATGCTCCAAAGGAAACCTTTTTTATCCAAATATGGTCAATTTCAATTTTTTTTCACAATATGACACTGTTGGTTTTGTCCTCACATTGTCTATTCGTTCTACACATCATTACCCAATTTAAAATGTTGGAAATGGCTTGAGAAGAAATCTATTATTTCTCTTGCGGTTGAACTTTGAGGCGTGCTGTAAAACTGCTGCCTTTTCTCGCACTTTGTTGTCTCAAGAGTGAAGGTGTGGATTTTTTTTTTTTTAAGACATGAACTTGTTACCCCGGGATAAATAATTTTCAGTCAGACTGTTTTGTGAAAAAAAAAATGCTAGCAGATTCATTTCTGCGTATTCCACTGCTTGGTCAGCTCATTGTTTCATTAGTTGCATCACGCATTGCTCTAAGACCTTTGAAAAAGAGTTTGGAAGAAGATGATGTAACGAAACATTTCAAAGGGTTTTTGTTTGGTTGTGAGGGGTTGATGTGAGCACAGGCTTTGATCTGGATGGCTGACGCTGGTACTTGTTTCCTATTAGGGGTGTGGAGACAAAAAAAAAAATCGGAATTTTAAGATTCAATAAATCGATGTCAAAGTTCCGAATCGATTTTCAGGATTTTTTTCAAAAAGCAAAGGTGAAGCTACCACTTTCTTCCAGCAGATGGCAGCGCGGAGCCAATTTTTTGTGGTAAGTAAGCGAGCTTCAGCATTCAGCAGCGTCACACAACGTCATCTAAATAAACCAGTGACTGAGCCGGAGCAAAACAGATGATCCAGACCGGCACCAAACTGGAAACGGTTGACCCTTAAGTTATAAACGGTGTTAAGTGGCATACAGTTGAATGAAATATTGTGCTTAAACTAAATTTGCCCTGTTACATGAAAGCAATTTTCTTCTCAAGGTGCAAAACATCCACGTTTCAGTGGTCACAAAAATTCTCGACATTTGTGGATCGGTGCCCGGTTGTGTAATACCACTCAAAAATGCTGCAAATATTATCAAAAAGATGCTCTGTCTAAAAATCCCCACAAGAACGTCCTTGGGAAAATCTCAATTGTCCAGCGCATCCATTTCAAACGAGGCACAAGGGCAAGATTTCTCATCTTGATGTTTGTGGTGACATCTTTTCGCGTCTTTTCTCGCAGCTGACTTGAGAACATCGCATCCGTACACCCAGCTCATCTTTTTCTTCGGTATTGTATAATTCCTTTTTATTTCCGAGAAGCCAAGCAACCCTGATGATAACAGCTTCAAAGGAGGATGCGAGTCAACGGCGTCAAAGGATGCTGCGAGTGAACCGTAACCATAGTAACTGAAATACACCAATACAGTAACTAGTGTGAAACGGAAACGGCGAGACTTGTGGACCGGCAGATCAAGGAAATATATCATTTAGTTAAATCGATTATTCAAATAATCATTAGGTGCAGCCATGAAAAGAACAATTACAAGCAGTGTTTTCCTCACTTTTGATTTTCTGTGGAAGACAGCCAAAATGGTTCCTTGCGTATTTAAGTTACCAACCCTCGGCTTAGTGTGAGCATTACCTTAGACCAGTGTTTTTCAAACCCTGTGCCGCGGGAAAATATCTAATTTGTATGCCTGTGTGGTCTATCGCCCGGCAAAGTAATCATGTAGTACCCCTCCATACCGCTAGGGAGCAGCAACAGCTAGCCTTGTGTTTCGACAAGCGAATTTGTGACGCATGAATGCAGGACAACGGTGAAACAATAAATATGAAAGATTATGAAATACTTTTTTCTTTGTGTTTATTTGATTCTAATTCAAGATTTTATAACATCATTCTTCAATGTTAAAAAACGGTTATAGTAACAATATAACACGTTAATTGTTAAAATAAGCTTTTTTTTTTCTCTTTTTCCGCTGGTGGTGTGCTGCGAGATTTTTTCAATGAAAGAAGTGTGCCTTGGCTCAAAAAAGTTGGAAAAACACTGCCTTAGACCACCCCGAGCAGAACATCCGGAATAGAGCAACAACAACAAAGTAATCCAGTATCTTGCCACCAACGCATCCCAACCTCAACCCACCTCTGGCCTGACGGGGTCTTCGATCCCGACGACGCAAATAGCCGTGAGGTCGCTGAGGATGTTGTTTTCGTCATCCCAGTCAGGCTCGGGGTCACTGGGGAAATCGCGGTACGCCACACAGATGGTCCTCAGGCCGTCGCAGGCCATGGGCTCGATCACCTTCTTCACCATCTCGTCCTTGTCCCGCGGACGGAAAACCCGCGGCTCGCCCACCTCGCTGAGGATGTGGTTGCATCTGTGGGATAGAAGAGAGAAGGATGAAAATCCATCAAGGCCGATCAATCACGGTTAGACATGAGACAATATTTTGTACAGGCATAGTAAGTACAAGAAATAAATGACAGTATAGTGGTACCTCTACCTATGAAATTAATTGGTTCTGGAAGAAATTTCTCAACTAGAAAATTTTGTAAGTAGAGATGCATTTTCCATGTACCGTAAATGCCCTAATCCGTTCCAAGCCCCCCCAAAATTCAGACATAAATGTTTTATGAAGCATAAAAATGCATCAAAATATGTAACAAACACATGTTACAATTAGATTATTGCATAATAAATGAGAGTTGTGCATCATGTAAAAAACAAAGAATAGAGCAAAGAATAAAAATGATAGCCATTGAACATTTAACTCCGTCCTCATCGTTTTTTGCCCTCTTTAGTCCATGTTCTCTCTCAGAAGTGTCTTTTGCTTGGCGTCTTGTAAGGAACTGATCCAAGGACGTTTGCTTTTGTCGGCTTTTAACAATCCTTCGAAAATATCCAAGGCAAACATCAGCATAGTGAGCGATTGACCAAATGGTGAACAATTTTTCTGGGTGATTCATATTTATGTAAAACTATCGGGACGCCTCATAGTCCGAGGGGTGAGTGACGAGGCCGCTGCATAGCCAATATCTATCGACACGCATGGACACATCCGGTAGAGGTCACTCTTAGCCAATGGGATGCCAGGACGATGCTCGGTAATAGCCAATGACAGAGCAGCTATAAGTATGTTGCGTTCAGGAAACTCAGAGCTGCGAGTAGCAACCCAGATTGTATTTTTACCTTTCGTATCTTGAAATTTCTTTCGTAACAAGAGGCAATATTTTCCTGCTGAGGCATTTCGTAACTTGAAAATTTTGTATGAAGAGATGTTTGTAAGTAGAGGTACCACTGTATTTGGTAAACTCTCTAATATCAGTGTACCTCAATTGGTCATAAAATAAATGCCTCCACCAAATATCTCGTTTCAGAGTCAGGACAAGTAGTTATTGTATCTCAAAAACGGGTTCATATAAACTGTGCTAAATGATGACCACTGCGGACAGACTTGTGAGAATCCCGCAGGTGCCCAATATGAGCAACCCTCATCCCCATCTGCAGTTGAGTAAATAATCTTACTTTTTGAGGACAATCTCGGACGCTCCCTTGCTGTACATGCGGAAACTCCCGTCGGGCAGTTTGACGACAGTGCTCATGGACTTCCGCACCGAGTTGAAGGTGTACACTTTGTATAGTTTCTCCTCGGGGATCTGGTTCCTGATCGGCTGGTAATCTCGCTTCAGGTCCAGCACCAATCCCAGAAGGCCGCACTCGGTCTTGTTGCCAACCTGTTTCGGCAGACCGCCTTCCTTATCCGGGGGCTGCGGAGACGCAGAGGAGAGCTTTTGAGTGTTTGCGTTCTGAGATAAAATCAAATGCGCCTGCTTTTTTTCTTTTTTTTTCCTCCCTATCATCTTGATCAGGAAGTAGAGCTTCTCTATTATCACACCAAAGCCATGTTGATTTATGTGAACATCATTTACTGTCTCAAACCTCACATTAATCTCCAAATGGCTAAAAAAGAATAGCTGATACAAATAAAGAAATTCATAAGCAACACAGCCTGTCTTTTTTTTTTTTTTTCGTAATAGATGTTCCCTTTCAGCCGGCGCCGAAGCACAAATCTCATTAACGTCAACATCGCACACACTTGACTTTCGTTTTAAAGCAAGCCGCTTCACACATTTGCTCATCTTGAGATCACATTAGGATAGCGAGCGACGCTGTCATTCGCACTCATTTATCATCAAGCCCTGCTTTTAATCCTCCTCTGTTTCTTTGGTGCGCCAAAAATGCTCAAGGGTCAATGAGACCCGCTGCATGTGTTAAAACAGAAAAAACTAAAGAAATAAATTGGTTTTGGAAGACTGGAAAATCCTTGAAATAAAAGGTCAATGTATTGCATCATAGATTGGGGGGGAGAAAATGTATAAATGACACTTCTCGCACCATGTTTTATGTACAGTATGTAATATAAAGTGAGAAAAAGAAAACAGCAATGCCAGGCGACTTTTTTTTTAAACCATTTTAAAAAATTCTATTACTTTTAAACTTTAAAAAGTGTGATTTTTTTTTCTCCAGCAACATTAAGAGGAGAGTCAAAAATCAAAGGCTACAGGCTGACAGAAACAAAACAAACAAAAAAATCATCAAGCAATGCTAGCTGGCTTGGCAAAAACAAAGTGACATTGAGGAAGTATAATTAGTAATTTGGAAAAAAGGCAATAAACAGAAGACAAGAACTTAAGGCCGCTAAATTAGAGAACACACTGCATATACAGTATAAAGTTTTAAATCCAACCTTAACCTTCTTCTCTTTCGCCCTATCCCTGTTCCACGCAGCAGTCGGTATGGATGAGGACAATTGTTCTACCCGTTCATTAGCCAAAGACATGAGAAGCGTCTCACTGATGTCATTATTGACCATTTAGGAGACAGCCTTCATTTGTTTTGTTTTGTTTTTTTTTAACCACACACTTGCTTACATTGCCACACGACTAAACATGAATCAGATTGGGGACAAAAGTGATTGGATTTTTAATAACTACTAACACTTGACATGATTTTATTCCCCCCCTCAGCTGGAGTTCTTTGGCTGGTGGCAGCTGTTGGGAGACAGCCATGTAAATATGGCCGCGGCGAAATAAATCAACATTCATTATTTTTTCTTCCCGCTAAGTCTAAATATTGCGATGCTCTTTCTGGAGGCGACTCGCTCTTTTCTCGATGCCGAGGTCCAGTTATCTTTGTGGATTTTATTCCAGCAGCCCAATTCAGCTGAAGGCCAGTAACGATGAATTAAGGCTGAAATTAATTTTAATCACAGACAGTTAATTAATTACAGACAAATAAAGCACAAAGAAGCCTTTAATCACACTAGACTTTCCGCAATGCTGTAATTCCAATGTTGTGCCTGTTCAAGGGGTGAACAAGAGGGAGAGAGAACCTTTAACGCTAGCTATGGAGGAAGAATAGCTAGATGGTAGGCGGAGCTATACCTCAACTATGAAAAAAAAGACCCCCCTTTTTTTTTTTTTTTTTTTAAA